ACTGTAATGATAGAGCATGACGATGTATGTTCCTTTATGGTTATGAGCATGATGTTTGTGTGTGCTTGGTGAGRGCTACTTACGGAGTATATTTTATATACTCACCCCCCCCCCCTCTACAATGTTTGTTTCAGGTGAAGGACTCGTGGGTGGCCATGGTGATGGGACGGAGGAGACCTGACGAGCGAGGATCATAGGCTGCTTAGTTTTCCTGTTTAGTTAAATTCATTGGTTAGGGCCTTATGTTGTGGCCAATGAACGGTTTATTTGCATTTGAATAATTGAGAGATTTTTCCCCTGTTGTTAGTTTTGCTTCGGGATAGGTGCCTATTTGAGTTTTATTCCCTTTGTTTATATTCATATGGATTGAATAATAAACTAGCCTCGTGAAGTGGTTCACGAATGTTGTTTAATGTTATTCCATGAGATTGATTTATCGTTAAATTGATGAGGATTTGAAACTTGATTTTATAAGTTTACGTGCATAGGAAGTTGGCAGGATGTAGCCTGGGTTAAAATTGATTGGTTGGGTAGTTAATGTTATCTAGAGGTGTGCGGAAAACTCTGGGTCGTTACAGAAATACTTGTCATTTTTCTCAAACTTGTGATTTCTTGACGTGAACAATTCCTCTTCATCCATGTACTTTTATGCTAGGCTAAGATCTTCATTAAACGTCATGGCTGGTTTCTTGCTGAGGGACTAGATGAGATCTTTATCTCCTAGACTGGCGATGAAGGTTGAGCTAGCCGTGTCATTCGAGTAATTGGCCACCTTGAACCTTCCGACGAAATCTCTAAGTATATCGTGTTGTCACTGTCGAATGGTAACGAGGTGCATTGCTGGTCGTTTGCTATCCTGACGAGTCGGGAATTGGATGATGAACACTTTCTTTAGCTGCTTGATGTTTGCGACGGATTCGAGCTGTAGTTGTCTATACCTTGTCCAAGCTGATCAATGACTTGTAGGTCTCCGGTTTCTCAATTGAGTTAGTTGACCCATCCTATACAGTCATGGTAGGCATTTTGAAGCTCGCTTCAGAGCTTTCCTTTTTGCCTTTTTGGATCCGGTGGTATTAAATGTTCAAGTTTGTCAGCTTGTCCTCCCACGTTTTGAAATGAACAAGCCATCGCAACCATCTCCGCTTTTAAATACTTGTGTGTTTTATTCCATTTTCTTAAAAGAAGACTTATATCACACGTTTATTGGATTGTAATCCTAAAAGTAATTCTAACCATCATAAACTACTTCTAAAGCTAAGTGATTGTTTAAAAAATGACTTAAAACAAAATTGATTATTTGAAAAGTAATTTCTATTTGATACCAATTGCTCTAGAATTTGTAATAAAATACTTTGACCATTTAAAATTGCTGGGTCCCTTTCATAACCATTTTAATTCATGTTTTTTGGCTTTTTAGTTTTTTAAAAATAGAGTTGTTTCATAAGTAATTCAATTTTCTGTTTTCTTTTTCAAACATAATTTTAAAATTCTATGTAAATTTTTTTAAAAAAAACATAATTTTAAAATTTTAGGTAAATTTTTAAAAACAGATTTCTGTTTTTCAAAATCTAATTCTTTTCTACTAATACTCATCCTTTTTTTTTCTTTCCCATATTTATGTCTAAAAAATTTGTTTCTTGCTCTAAAATTTTTTCTTCCTAAAATTCTCTCTACAAAATTAATTGGTCTCTCTAAAATTTGCATAATTTGGATATTTATTATTATTTCTTTACCTCCAAAATTTTCATCATTATATTTTTTTTCTTGTTGGAATAGATCACTCAATTTCTCCCTCTGAAAAATGGATAGTTTCTCAAAGTTTTCTCTCCCTAAAATTTTGTTTTTTAAAACTTTTCTTACTCTTCCTTGTATTTTTTCCTCTAAAATTATATTTTATTTTCTCGTTCAATTTTATTTCACTATAATTTATTTATTTATTTATTTCTAAAAAGGATATTTCGAACATTGTTTTTATCTTTAAATTTTTTTTCAATATAATTTTTTTCTTTCTAGTTTCTTTCTTCTTTATTTAACTTTATCTTTTTCTCTCAACTCTTTTTTTTTTACCTAAAATTTTTCACCTTTTGTCTTTAGATTTGCTTTCACTAATTTTCTTGCTGTGAGTCGATTTTTTTTATTTCTCTAAACTTGTATTTTCGTGTCTCTACATTAAGGTTGACAAAAATTTTCCATAAAGTCGTGTCCGCATCTATTAATATGAAATTCATGTTTCAACCCCATTCCCGATTCCATTTTTTAAATAATTAATATATATTTTATTAGCATATTTACTAAATTGTGAATAAAAAGTTAAATATTTTTTTGAACTAATTATTTATATTAGTAAATAATAATTCTAAAGGTAATTGATATATAGTTATTATACTGTTTTATTTTTTTAATTCTAAAAATAATTAAAGTTAATTATAAACTGGTCCTCGAGTTTGGGAATATCCCCATCCCCAACTTAAGAATTCTTTAACCTGGATCTCGATTCCCAAATCAAAGAACGAGGTGGAGATGGTTGACTAAAAAATTTTCACGAACACGAGAATGGAAAAGTGCATCTCGACTCCCACCCCCGTAACATGGTCGTCTCTACTCAACATAGAATTTTGTGTCTAATATGCCTTTCTAATTTGCTAACCTTTTAAAAACAGAAAACTGAAAATGGTTAAAAAATATTTGGTTTTCTATTTTTTAAAATAAAAAACGAAAAACCGTCATCGAATATATATGATTTTTATTTTTTAAAAATAGAAAAGTAAAAACAAAAAACAAAAGATCAAAAAAACAAAAATAGTTATGAAACAGCACTTAGCAACGAGGAAAAGATAAAAAGGGAAAGACTTGACATCAATCGTGAAAGTCAGTGTTTATACAAAGGCACAAGTTTTGGATAAATACATATGAGTCACAGTTTTGTGCTCCTATAATGACGCGTTTCTGCCATTGTTAACAAAGTAAGCCTCTCTCTCTCGCTCAGTTCTATTGAAGAGGAAAATAAGTTTGCCCAACAAACCTTTTTGTTTAGTAAATTGATCTAAATTTGTTATAAATATTGGCGGCTGTTGTTTTAGCGAACACAAACCCTCATTGCTCTTATTATAAATAACACCCTTCCATCCTCCATTTCTCTTCATCAGCTCTATCATTTTCAATATCACCAAATCATAGCCCTCCCTTTCAACCAAATGGAAATCGCAATGCAGCGAGTAGTTTATGTGGCGTTCATGTTGTTGCTTCTGGGTATAACATGTGATGCTCAACTTTCGCCTACGTTCTACGACCAAACATGTCCTAATGCACTTACTACCATCAGAACTGTTGTTAGGCAAGCTGTTTCCCAAGAACGTCGAATGGCTGCATCTCTCATTCGCCTCCATTTTCACGACTGTTTTGTTCAAGGTTGTGATGCGTCAATATTGCTCAACGACACTCCTTCTATGATTGGGGAACAAAATGCAGCACCCAACAGAAACTCTGCAAACGGTTATGGAGTAATACAGAAGGCTAAGACTGAAGTTGAGAAGATATGTCCTGGTGTTGTATCTTGTGCAGACATCCTGACTGTTGCTGCAAGAGATGCATCTTTTGCTGTGAGTAGTTTTTTTATATGCAATATGCCAGATTTGTACTAAAATGTAGTGAAAATATTTCCCTAATATACTGTAAATTATTACAAAATAGGTGGGTGGTCCATCTTGGACAATAAAGTTGGGAAGAAGAGATTCTACCACTGCAAGCAAAACTCTTGCCGAGAGCGAGCTTCCAGGCTTTCAAGAAAGCCTTGATGGACTTATCTCTATGTTTGCAAACAAGGGTCTTAGTGCACGGGATATGGTTGCACTATCAGGTAATTAAATCATGTACTTTCTCAATTATCTCCTAGAAATATCATAGGTACTCATTGACTTCCATTACTGCAGGTTCTCATACCATAGGACAAGCCCGATGCTTTCTTTTTCGTAATAGGATATACAATCAAAGTAACATTGATGTGGGGTTTGCTAGCACTCGCCGAATAAATTGTCCAACATCTAGTGGAGACGAAAATTTGGCACCACTTGATTTGGTCACACCGAATTCCTTTGACAACAACTACTTTAAAAATTTAATTCAAAAGAAGGGTTTGCTAGAAATAGATCAAGTACTCTTCAACGGAGGATCAACCGATAGTATTGTTATAGAGTATAGTAGAAATCCATCAACATTCAATTCTGACTTTGCAACTGCGATGATTAAAATGGGAGATATCAAACCTCTCACCCGTTTAGATGGCCAAATAAGAAAAATATGTGGCGCTATCAACTAAAGTTCCTTTTGCATTTTTATTTGAAGTCTATACTCGTGGAAGATAATTGTACAAGTCCATTTATCCATTTGTTATGTAATTTCAATCTGTATTATATTTATTTGGTAATGTTTATAACTGTTTTTTTGTTCGATATCATCCTTCGGAAGTGTATTTATGTGTTTACTTCTAATTTAAATTGTGGGATAGATATTCCATCTATTTTTCTCTGTTTAATTTCCAAAGCTGCAATTTTAACTTTAAAGCTGCAAATTTTATATTATATATATTTTTTAAATTCCATAGGTACTTTCAAAATATTTTTTACATAAAGATTAGTAAAAAAAATACCCGTATGATTTTAAAAGTTTCAGTTATACTCTTATGTCCTAAATTATTAAAATAATATCCATGAAAAAAAAAGGAGAAAAAGGCTCAAGTTCGTGCACAACCAGAAGAAAAAAAAATACAAATAGACCATTCACAACCAAAAAGTAATAATAATACAGCTAGTCAAGAATTTAGTGAGTCTGAGTTTTGAAAAATATATTTTTAAGTAAAAATATTTCTTCTAGAAGCACCCTACAAAAAGCTGAAATTAGAAGTACGCACTTAAAATGCTTTATGACTTGTGACTATATTTAAAATTTTCAAAATCATTTTTTTTAATAATTATAATGTAACAAAACACAATGAAAATTTTGAAGAGTAGTTTTCACCCGTTTCAAAACACATTTCAAACTCACCTAAACCGGTAAAGAATGACTTTTCATAAATATTGGAGGTTGATTTCAGCGTACACGTGGCAGGCGACGAGTGGATGCAAAATGTGACAGGTGGCGGCTCAGAGATATCACAAAAAACTACCTAAGTATACACATCTCCGCTCATGATCCGTATGACCGAGTCGATTTCCTTCAGTGGCCGAGCCGAACAAGCTTGTTCACGATCGCGTTCCCAGGTTATTGGTTGAGCCGATTCGCTTACCTCAGCTCGGTCACACATCTGATATACTCCACGACAACATGTCACATTTCACGGTTACCTTAAAGAGCCGTTGAGGTCTTTGTCGAGAACGCTGTCGGGGTCTTCGCTTATAAGTAGAATCATTCTATTCATTTTAAGGTACGCCAAAATTTCAATTCTCTCTCGATTTGGTTCGGACTTTCATTGACTTTGGCATCGGAGTGCTCACTCTATTTTGCAGGTCTCCTACGTGACGCTCGGAGCTCACTGTCCAGCTCATCCGATCCGAACCGACATTCGTGGAGTTGATCGAATTATTGTTTCAACATTTGGCACCGCTTGTGGGAAAGACGATTCGACATCTTCAAGCTGTTCCCTACCAAAGCACTGAAGCAAATGATGGCAGGCCCAACCCGCTCACAGTTGTCCCACACCCCTAACGCTGCTAAGGGGCACAAAGGAGAGCGCCGAACCAACACTCGAAGGACCTACTCTCTCATTGCAGGAACGTCCAACGATCAC